AAAGTACGCTTTTACAAAGCATGCGTGTAGAGACGCACGCGTCGATGTTCGATTAGCTCGGATAGATCCGATTTCCCCTAATACGAGCTCGTTAAAAATCTAGATTTTAGTAATTTAGTGTGAAATTACTGTTTGGATCTAATTTGAGAAATGAGGTAACTACCTTCTTTCGTTTAAATTGTGGTTTTTAATTATTAATACAAAGATCCGAACACTTAGAAAAAATTCCTTTAGTCCGGTCGGGTTTGAACCAACTTTTCTATGTGCTTCTTGTGAGATCTTTGTATCTGGTTTTTAACGACTTTTTAGCCATAGCACAAATATAAAAGTATATATGAAAGTATAAGACAAATATATGAAAGTATTTCGTCAGTTCTGCCCTCGTAACGAAAAAAGGCACAACTATGCGTACTTTATACAGTTGTGCCTTTTTTCATTCTGAGGACAGAGTTACGGTTTTTACTTAAAATTGACGTTATTACAGTTTTAGGTGCATCCTAACGCAAGTTACAAATAAGCGCACTTATTAAAACTCTTTCTAAGTTTTCCTATTTGTGGACTGTATGTATCTTTTTAATACCGCATATTACAATTTTATTTTTAAATTAAAAAATAAATGCTCATTTTACTTCCATCTCTCCTGGTGGAAAGTGACGCGGAAGTCGACGATAGGATCATGCACACCTAAATAATGCTACCTAAGCAACTCTTGCCTTGAAAAGGCTTAAGTTTTATCTTTCACTGAACAAGTCTGCAGGCACGGAATCTTTACAAAGGCTTGTCCTATTCCTCAATAATTAAAACTCTCAACAATTCACGAACGCGGAAATAACGTGCGCGAGGTTGTATTATTTGCTAAGCTAAATAAATATATATTTGCGTGGAAATTTGATACAACCGACATTCAGAATAACGGAGTAATTTACACATTATGTTGTCATGGAAACTTGAAGTCTAGAGCAAGAGTCGTTTAACTGCCTATTTGTTGTTGATCTAAAATACATAATGATAAATACGTGTACGCAATTTTTTATTTATAGAATGTGGTGAGTTGTCTTGTTAGTACGGGAAATTTTAATTATAGTGATACAAAAAATTTACACCAAAGGTTATTTTATTGTACAGCTTCTGCGTACTTTGATAACAAACATCCAAGATAATGACTTAATGACCCGTTTAGTTATTGTAGGTTGCCTCGATCTATTTATTACATCTGAAATAAATATTGTAATTGATAAATGGGTACAATCGACTCCTCCTACTTAATCTATCATAAGCCCTAAAAATAGGTTCATTTTTTCATATCTTTTTTATGTGGGTCTATTATACTCAACAGTAAAATTATTTGTAGAAATAATGAGCATGTTACAAATTTGATTGTAATACCTCGAGAATCGCAGCTATTATGGACATTTTGGTTCTTTAAACACATTAAAACGATCCCCTTTAAAGTTGTGAATTTGGGTTTACGATTCTTTACTCAGGAGTGGAGGAATCGAATATTTAATTACTAAGTACCACCCCTAGAGTTTCTCACTCATTATTCTCAGAGGAATATACCTTACGAATGAGTTGTAAAGTTTAATCAATGTGACCATTTGAAAAGTTTTTTTTTTCTTGCCTTTGTAATAAAGATTATTTGACTTTGAATTGAGTTTACAAATGTTCATGACAATCTAATAAGAAATTACTATAGAAAAATGTTTGGAGAACCAGAAATTCACAATTATAGCTGTGTTTCGTTGCTTAAATAGCAATGTTAGCCTTGTTGGGAAAACATTTGCCTTCTAAGATTCAGTGTTCTGTGCCTTTAATTTTTTTATGATACCAAGTGAGCTGTAGCTCACGCCTGCCCATAATTGTTGCAGTGCCACTCAGAGCTTTAAATCGCAAAGATTTGATGGGTACTACCACTGTGCCCGTCACCTTGAGGCAAGTTGACAAGTCCCATGTGCCTGTAATTTCACCAGCACCCTTACCCTTCAAAACAGGAACGCAGTAATGTTCACATTATAGATTGGCAGCAGAAATAGCTAAGGTAGTGAGGGCTGTTGTTTTTCAAAGCGCGTTCCGTTACCTTTCGCAAAAAAGGGGAAGAAACGAAGAATCTTGACATTTACTTGACATTAGCCTTTAAATACATGTAAAGTTACCAAGCCCCATCAAGGTAAACTTTATCGTTATAGCTTTGACTCTCTCTTTAGAGACGACCTGTGCCCACCAGTGACACATATGCATGGACGGTAGTAATCTTATTTGGTTGACTGGACCAATCCAACTGTTCTACATAAATACTTTCTTTTGTATGTAAACATAGTTAAAATGATTCTTTATAAAAACTACATCTATAAAAATCTTAGAACAGCGGTTATTAATATTTTCCCCATTAGGCTACCACGGCTAACAATTTAAGAAGTAATATGATCCTCAAAATGTATATCATCTTTTTTAACTATTCAATTAATGTTTACATATTACATCTTATGAGTACAAAAATTAATAGTAGCAGTCTTAAGGCGACATTGACCGTGATAGTTGACGCAGTGCTGCGCTTGCGCACGCGAGAAAGCAAATTACCCACCAGGCGCCACGGAAACAAGTTTATTCCGGTTATTTATTCAGATATTTTCACTTATGTTAATCTCTGCAAATTCCAAGCTCCTGTGAACTATGTCCGGGTAGAAAATCGAAATCTGTCGCTTAAATTATGCACTCGTACATATGCAATAAGTTGGATCATAAAGTCTGACCTTTTCAATGTCATGTTGTCAATAAATCTTTGAATCATAATATGTGACTCATTCCATATTTGACACTTCCAAAGAAATAATCATGAATGAACTTTACGATATTGTGTTTGTACATTTTGGGATGTAGCGCACATGAAACCTTGTACTATCGTAACTGAAAATTTTGGAATTAACAAAACACGATTTGAAAATTAAAAAAAATACTGTATGAAATATTTTTTTTATATTCTTTATATTTTTTATATTCAAACGGTATTTTGTTTAACTTTCAAATTGTTATAATTATTATTACGAAAATCGAACACTAAGAAAAATTCCTTCCATTCATTCCAACCAGTGCCTTCCGGCAGTCCGTGTTAGATGCTCTGTCAGTTAAGTCACGGAACGAACCAGCAGACGTAAGGATTTAATTTTTCTAAGTGTTCTTAGTTGCAGTTTTTGATTTTTAACGACTTTTTTGCCGTAGCTCCATCTATAAGAGATCTGTTTCTTAACTTTCAAATTGTCCTTTTTCTATTTCACCAAATGTTTGAGTTGCGACAATATTTGGTTTCAATAGCGATGTTTTGAAATTTTATCACAGATTTTTGACAGCAATAAGTAATAAAAAGACGAATCTATTACTACATAAGTATACGAGTATATGTATATACTTTAGTCACCTACTAAAGAACACTAACTTGACGAACCGATTGAAAACTTTATTATCGTAGCGTAGAATAGTACCTATTAAAATTAATGACGTGGAAGCAGTGAATTTCATTCAAGCCAGTACAATGAAGACTTTACTACTCGCTTTTGTTTATACATTTATGAAAATATATTTTTATGTTATGAAGAAAGTAATTTATTTATGAAAAATAGTGACGGACATTAACTTTAATACAAGGAATAAAAATAAACTAGCTAAATTTTGATTGAAATTATATTCAATTATTTATTGTGAAATTACTTTATGCGAAATACTTTCATGGATTTCCCACAGATGGCGCTATGGCTAAAAAGTCGTTGAAAACCAAATACAAAGGTCCGACAACAAGCACATAGAAAAACTCGTGAGGTCCGTTGATTCGTTCCGTGGCTCAGTTGGCATAGCGTCTGGCACGGTTTGCTAGTAGAAGACTTCGGTTCGAGTCCGGCCGGAACGGAGGATTTTTTTCTGTGTTGGATCTTTGTATTAATAGTAGTAAACTATAGCTGTTCTCGACAGTAGTCTTCACAAAGTCACAAAACCGTTTAGGGGGCAATGTCGTAGATTGTCCCCTAAATAGTTTTGCAACTTCTATAATAAGATTCCGATTGATATTAAAAATTTTCTCAATTACGAGGTTTAAAACTATATACTAAGCGCTCAGTTACGCGAGGGGAAAGTTTTCGCGCGGTCGCCGCGCGGCGACTGCCCAGTTACCACGCCTTCATGTACATTAATGGCGAATTTCAATTCTATTTACTAGACAACAACATTTAAATTCCTCTGAATAATACTAACGCGTGGCCGCCGCGTAGATCAAATTCAAGCCAGACTTGCCCGCGCTCCCGGGACCCTCTTTAAGGTTAAAACGTAAAAGCGCGGCGGCAACGCGGACTCCGTTCGTGTAGAATAAATGCGCGCTAAAGGTTATACAGCTTCTGCGTACTTGGGTGACTAAAACAAGTGCGTCCGCGGTCGAACGGTTACCATTCTGGACTGCCACGCAGAGTCCCGGTTTCGATTCCCGGACTGGGAGAAATTTTTGCATGGCCTACATTAATTTCTCTCGTGAGTTTGGATGTATTTTATGGTTGTTTATGTGTGTATCACAGGATGTGTGATACAGGGTTTCCCTAGTGTAGGGCTATGAGAATATGCGTTATTATTATTGTTATTATTATTAAAAATCCGTGATAGTGACCCATTTAGTTCTTGCGGTATTTTCGGTCTAAAATAACTGAAATAAATATTGTAAATGATAAATATATTCAAATGTATATTTACAAAGACTAACCTATAGAGTTCGTTTCTTCACAGGGCAATCTGCCTTACGAATGAGCAGTAGAGTTTAATCAATACGACGATTTCAAGTGTAATTTGCTTCCTTATGTAATAAAGGTGATTTGAGATTGAATTTGCATTAAAAAACGTTACAGCCGGCAGATAGTAGGCACATACTCGTATTTTTGGGACCTGTCTCTTATTCATTTACTTGTTTCGAAGCTTAGAGAAGAATTTTAATTGTATTTAGATTAATTTTTGTTTTTTCCTTTTTTCAGGACCAAAATGGCATCGGATGTCGCGTCAAGTATACCGCGGGCGACATTCGTTTGGCTTATTTTGGCTTTGGTTAATGTAAGTAATAATTATTAAAAGCGAATCAACGAATGAATGAATGCAATAATCTTTATTTATTACTAAATAAATTTAAAGCAAATGCTTGTAAGGACTTTAATCTTTTTTTTGAAAGTGAATTTCTGAAATGATTACAGATGATCAGCAATCATTTTCATTTCGTTTATTTGCAATACAATATGAGAAAATAAAAATACAAAAAAATAATAAATTCATATCAAGAATAGTTTATCTACAACCAGGTGGTTAAAAAAAATTTTGGAAATCAAATTTACTACAAAGTAATAGTATCAAATATTAATGATATTTTGCTATATTCTGAATGACGCTGTAATATATTTTTTTAAATGAACTTATTTGGTTTATGCCACTATTCTTGAAAAGTACCGACATGTCAAATGTGTCTGCGATTTTGCTACAGACGAATACTAAGCACTTTGCTCATATTCTGACAAGACCCTTAATCATTAAAACACTTAGTACTTCGATCTCAAGATTACACTTACACACATACAATTCATCAACATTAGACATCATCATCACCCTATTGCAGTCCACTGCTGGACATAGGCCTCCCCTAATGCACGCCATTTCGCCCTGTTCTCGGCTTGACGCATCCATTTCCTGCCAGCAATCTTCCGCAGATCGTCACTCTATCTGGCTGGAGGGCGTCCCACACTACGTTTGCCAAGTCGTGGTCTCCACTCAAGAACTCGTTTACCCCAGCGGTTGTCGGTTCTTCGGCAGATATGTCCAGCCCACTGCCACTTCAGCTTGCTTATCCGAAGAGCTATGTCGATCACTTTGGTTCTCTGTCTGATAACCTCATTACGGAGTTTATCTTTCAGAGAAACTCCGAGCATAGCTCGTTCCATAGCTCGCTGAGCGACTTTAAACTGGTGGACTAGCCGTATCGTGAGTGTCCACGACTCAGCTCCGTACGTTAGAACTGGTAGGACGCACTGGTTGAAAACCTTTGTTTTCAAGCTCTGCGGGATGGGCGACGAAAAGACTCGACGTAGCTTCCCAAACGCTGCCCAGCCAAGCTGAATCCTCCTCCTGGCCTCCTTCTCGAAGTTATTTCTACCTAACTGCAGAATCTGCCCGAGGTAAGTGTATTCGGAAACAACTTCAAGAAGGTGGCCATTGACGCTGATGGGTCTCGGATCAATGTGGTCATTGATCATGACTTTGGTTTTATCAAAGTTCATGCCGAGACCAATCCGCCGCGAGGCGGATGCTAGGCTGTTCAGCATCTGATCCAGTTCCTCCAGCGATTCTGCCATTAGGACTATGTCATCTGCAAATCGCAAGTGTGAGATGTACTCGCCGTTTATGTTAATGCCCATCCTTTTCCAGTCCAGCGTCTTAAACATATCCTCCAATGCAGCGGTGAACAGTTTCGGGGATATGACATCCCCCTGTCTCACCCCTCTGCGTAATTGGATAGGTTAAGACTGCTGGTCCTGTACTTGGACACTCATGGTAGCAGCATCGTAAAGACATCTCAACACTTGTATATAACGATAGTCCACTTGGCACCGCTACAAGGATTCCAGGACAGCCCAGGTTTCGACAGAGTCAAAGGCCTTTTCATAGTCCACGAAAGCTAAACACAGGGGCCGATTATACTCTTCTGTATAATCTGCCTCACTGTGTGTATGTGGTCTATGGTGCCATATCCTCCCCGAAACCCGGCCTGTTCCGGTGGCTGAAACTCGTCGAGTCTTCTTGCGAGGCGATTCGTGATGACTCTAGAAAACAGCTTGTAGACGTGACTCAGGAGTGAGATGGGTCGGTAGTTTTTCAGTAGAGTTTTATCTCCCTTTTTAAAGAAGAGAACTACAATACTCCTGTTCCACGCCCGTGGAGTTCTCCCGCAGTGAATGACCAAGTTAAAGAGCTTCTGAAGTTCCTGGATAATAGGAACTCCTCCAGACTTCAAAAGCTCCGAAGTAACTCCGTCTTCACCGGGGGCTTTTCCATTTTTAAGCTGTTTTAGAGCCAACACGATCTCGTCTTGACTGATTTCTGGCAGGTCGTCGGTATAGTGGCGCGTCAAGGTGGCTCTCAAATCGTGATTGTCACGCTGGACCCGAGGAGCATTTACAGCGTACAAACGGCCATAGAAGTCCTCTATCTCGGCGAGTATCTGCGGCTTTGACGTAACGGTTAGGCCATCGTGCGTTGTAAGCTTCGTCAGGTGGCTCCTTCCAAGCTGCTGAGTGAATACTTTGGACCCTCGGTTTCGCTCTATCGCCTCCTCAATGAGGCGTGTATTGGAGCTCCGAAGGTCACGCCGTACCATCTTCGCAATCTGCTTGTTTAGGTATGACCTCTCTGACGAAGTGGCCTGGATGTCATCGCGTCTTTTCGTCATAAGTCGCAGAGTCTCATCCGAGAGTTTAGACTTCTTTCCCGTACGCTGCAATTGACAGAATTTGATGCCCTCGCTTCTCAGCGTCCCAACCACGCGTTGTAGGGCCTCGTCAACGTCCTCGGTGGGTTCCAGCTCGACGAATCGCGCTTCGAGAAGTTCATGGAACTTCTCGGAGCCCGCCATGATCTGGAGTGGATTAGGACGGAGCGTGGACTTCATCAAGCGGCTTCTTTCAAGTTTGACATCGATATTCAGAGAGCCTCGTACAAGTCGGTGATCAGATCCGGTGCTAAACCTGTTGATCACTGAGACATCTCTGAATATGTGTCTCTTGTCCGTCAGGATGAAATCGATCTCATTTTTAGTCACAGCGTCGGGGCTTCGCCAAGTCCACTTCCTTTGAGGCTTTTTCTTGAAGAACGAATTCATCAAGAAGAGCCCCTCGTGCTCGAGGAAGTTGACTAGCGTTTGCCCCCTGTGATTCCTTACTCCATAACATTAGACACATTATGTTATTATGTAAAAAGCTCCGTACAATGTATTTATTACTTACTTTATTTTATTTATAAATTCAAATCTTTCATTAAATTTATTGCTTACCACGATGTCTTACTACCATGATGTACAGTTAGTTTCTGTGAAATAACTCCTTCAGTTAGTTATAATTTATTAATACAAAGATCGAACACAAATATATAATAATAAATATATATAAAGTAATTTATAAGAATAACTGCTTCAACATGTGTATAATTATTTACAATAAATTACCAAACGAAATTAAATTGTTACAAGGACATACTTCTAAATTAAAATTGACAAAATGGCTTTTGACACATTGCTTCTATAGTAATAAAGAATACTTAGAATTTACAAATTCATTACATTAATTAGAAACTATAGAGACTAAAGAAACATTGAATCCCATTAATATTTGCACATCTGCTTGCAGGTTGAATACAATGTACCTAATTTTACTTAAGACCTTTGTAATTACTGTATTCTGGCAAATAAACATATTCTATTCTATATTCTATTCTATTCTATTCTATTCTATAGCAGCAGAGAGCTCCCTGCATCGAGTATACGTGAGGCGCACTATAAGTTTCCGGAATGAATAAGAAAAAAATACTATAAATGGTCAGAAATGAATTTATTGTCTCTCAAAATATTCTCCGTTAGCGTTAATGCACTTTTTCATACTCTTCGACAGCCTCTTTAGGTGATGAAAATCGTTGACATACGCGGTCTGGTTCTTAATTTTTGGAAATAAATAAAAGTCACAAGGTGCAAGGTCGGGACTTTACGCGGGATGGCTCATAAGGTCAACGTTGTTCACCTTCAAATATTCATTTGTCTGTCTGGCCGTTTGAGAACTGGCATTGTCGTAGTGCAAGATGATACGGCGTTTACGGTTATTTTTACGGAGTTCGTCAATAACTTCCGGCAAACAAATGGTCGTGTACCAATCACTATTCACGGTATAACGATTCTCCAAACCAATAGTAGACACGTGTACAGTTTTATTAAAAAAGGAAGCTATCATCCGCTTAGAGGCACTTTGCACGCGCGCCACTTTGGTTGGTTTCGGCTCATTGCGAAAGACCCATACGTTCGATTGCTGCTTTATTTTGGGATCGTAACTATAAATCCATGTTTCGTCACCTGTTACAATGTCCCACACCAAATTTGACGCCCCTTCGTTGAACCTGGTAAGCATGGCATTACACCAAGTGACGCAATCAGTGAAGTTGTGTAGGATCCGAAGGCATAGCTTTTTCACACTCAAATGTTTGTGTAGTGTTGATTGTATTTGACTCAAGCTTATGCCTAAAAATGCCCGAATCTCATGGTATGTCACATGCCTGTCTGTTTTGATCATACGGCGCACAGCATCGATGTTTTTGTTGTTTACAGCAGTGGACAGGCTACCATCAAGAAATTCGTCACTGAGATTCACACGGCCGCGTTTGAATTCTGAAAACCAGATATAAATAGTCGTCTTGGATGGTGCTTCATTGCCAAAAGCAGTTTGAAGCCGAGCGAAGCTCCGCTGCGCTGTTAAATTACACTTAAAGTCGCAGAACATCATACTACTAAAATTTTCACGAGTTAAGTCCAAGGTGAAGGAGACAACCACTTTCTAAAATGACGCCACAATGTAAAAACAAGTGACAGTCAGATGAAACAAACCGTGTTCTACAGCCAAAGAGTTCCACCTTTAAATGTTGCAATTACTTTTTAAATATTGTTTATGTAAGTGTCCAGTTCCGGAAACTTATAATGCGCCCTATGTGTAACTAGAAATAGAAACGAAATAAGGGCCATTCATCCCTGGCCACTCATCAGGAAAATGGGCCTTGTGTGTGCGTCTCCGTATATTCCAAAAATATTCTGGATTTATTGTAATAAAGATAATATCTCTAACTATGGGAGGCTGTTCCATTCGGTGGTGAGTGCGAAAAACAGCAAAACATCTAATTACAAAACAAACGGAATCACATTTAATCGGCAATTAAATATTAATTATATAATTTTTCAATTTTCGTCCATTACAGCACTTGACTTGAGCTTTCAAGTCAAACTGATCGATTTGAAGTGAAACAATTGACGACACCTG